CTGTGCTGCCTGCCGAGGCCTCAGCCCTGGGAGCGAAGGTGGGAAGCCCCTCCCTTCTCTCCTGCTCCGTGTCAATTCCTGAAGGTGAAAACTAAGGACTAAAACCTCTCAAAAAGCAGAGGAAATGGGAATAACTCAAAACAGGAGTCTGAAAGCAGCGGCTCCACAGGAAGAGACTGAACTCTCAGATCCGGGCCGTAAGCCGAGTCTCAGTATCTGCACGAGTTGGGTTCTAACCTATCAGAGGAACCCCTTACGCTGCTCCGGGGGGAGGCGGCCATTCTGGCTCGAGCGGAGTCCTGTGCTGTGAAGATGCTCTCACTGCTGCCCCGACGGACTCCTGCCTATACCGAGCCTGTGCAAGCCACGACCATGGAAATGCTCGCGGGCGACCCGCTGGCGGGAACGGATGCGGTCGGTTGCTTCGTCGGACTCGGTGTTAAAGGAGCCGCGGACCGCGGACTCACCTGGTGATGATGCCCAGGGTGGTGGCCGGGGGGATCTGCAGCTGCTGCGGGGTCAGCCCGTGCTGGTCCAGCTGCTTGGGGATGAGGTGCCGGTGGGCGATCTCTATCTTCTCCTCCTGCGTGTACCCTGCAGGAGGGGCCCCGCTGTCAGTCATGCCCCGGGCTCCCCAGGGCCACGCTTTTTCAGAATGGATGGGAGTGTGACCTCCACTCAGATCCTCTGATCAGAGTAAGGACGTTCATTCTCCGATCAACCGCTGTTAAGGCCTCCAACTTCTCCCCAAACAATACAAGCATCTGCCAAGCACAGCGTTTGAAATCTTCTGAATAAATCTGCCTCTCAAAGAGGAAAAAATCTCTCTGTGAGAGCTCAGAGGCAATTACCTCCTCAGCTCAGAGCTGGGTTTCTATTTATTATTTAGTAGGAAACGCATCCCTTTTCTTTACTATAATTTGAATCATAACTGAAAAGACTTAACGCACAACAAGACTGAACTGAATAAGCAGCGGTTCTAGGGGAGGAGCCGCACATAAATTCTGGCAACAAAACCGCCCCAAACCAAGCTGCCCCTCTGGTCGGAGCTGTACACGTAACCGACACGTTTAAAGGATGTACGCTCCTACTTATTTAAACGCCTCAATGAGTATAGATTTACTTTGTCTTTAAACCTGTAAGAAAAATTCCCACTAAACTAACTGCCCCCTTTCCATGGAACAAGCAAACATTAAAAAGATGAACTGAGCCGAGACTGGTTTGGCTCAGTGGATAGAGCGTCGGCCTGCGGACTGAAAGGTCCCGGGTTCGATTCCGGTCAAGGGCATGTACCTTGGTTGCGGGCACATCCCCAGTGGGAGTGTGCAGGAGGCAGCTGATCGATGTTTCTCTCTCATCGATGTTTCTAACTCTCTATCCCTCTCCCTTCCTCTCTGTAAAAAATCAATAAAATATTTTTTAAAAAAAGATGAGCTGAGAAGACAGCTGTTGAGCAGGAAGAGGAAATAAGGGCCGGCAGGAGGGAGGCGCCAGCCCACGGCCGCCCCCACTCGCGGCTCACGGACCGTCCACCTCAGGTGGAGTTCCAGGCAGTTAGTCACGTGACTTACTTATTTAGTCTCAAATATGCACAAAGCGATATTTCACTCCATCCGACTTTAAAACTGTATCCTCTTTTAAGTATAGGAACGGGCAGGACTCACAGAAAACTAAGAAATCCAATGATCATCCACTTGATAGCAGAATTATATTTCAGATTGATATGAAATACACACTTAGCTTATATGAGAATCTAGACATATTTAGTCTTAGATATATTTAGATTCCACTCTATTTCCATTTTAACAAATGCCCACTGACATTACATGTCTTCCAGGGAGAAATGATTCTGAGCAGTTAAAATGGTGAAAACACTGAGATTTATTTACTGTTAGTAACTAAAGGAGTTTTTGCAAAAAAACCCCCAAAGCCTAGTGACGGCTGCAGTGACAAGGCGCGGGCAGACCACCCCCGTGTGGCACACGGCGCGGCCGGAGTGCGGCTCACGCCTCGCTGCCGCTGCTCCTGCTCAGCGGGAGCAAGCGCTCACTTTCCCCGAGAAGGAAACGTCAAGCTCTGACGGACAGGAGGCTAAACTGCCCATGTGAAGGTCTGTTCCTGACTTACTTTGAAAAAAGTTGTTTTTTTTCTGTAATTTTAGAAATTGCTTCAAAGGAAGGTGTCTTTTTATTAAAAAACGGATCATTCTTTCATGCCAAGTTCCATCTGAAATTGCTCTGCAAAATTTATCGCTGAGACGCCTTATCTGTCAGGGTGAAAGCAAACAAGTGCACGTCTGCCTTCCCGACTCTGAGTCTAAACAGGAGCAGGTTCACTCGGAGACTCGGACGTGGGAAGGTCATGCGTGGGCAAACCACCTTTTTACTCGAAACCCCACAGCTCCACAGGTCAAAGGGCTGCGCTCAGAGAGGCAAGACGGAAACACCCCATCAGGCACCGCCCTGTGCCCGCGTACCTGGCACCTGGATGATCTCCATCCTGTCCAGCAGGGCCGCCGGGATGGTGGCCGTGGTGTTGGCGGTCGCGATGAAGAGGACTTGGGAGAGGTCGAAGGCCACGTTGAGATAGTGGTCGGTGAAGTTATGGTTCTGCTCCGGATCCAGCACCTGCGGGGAGGGCGACACGGAGCCGTCGCGGCGGCTCCAGGGAACGAACACGGCTGTGGCAGCGAGCGCTGGCTTTGCCCGGCGCGGCTGGTTGGGAAGGTCCGGGGGTAGCACTGAGCCCTGCGCCCTCCCTCACACGCCCACACTCTGAAGAAACATGCTCAGTGTCACACTTTCGGAAGACACGAAAGCTCACAGCAGCACCAATGACCCTTTCAGCCTTATCCCTCCACCGATGTCAGCAACACGAGGGCGGCCAGCACTGAGCTACCAGCCCGCAGAGCCAGCGCCCTCGGGGGGGCGCCCCTCCCGCCGCCATGGGAGCAGAAAGGGAGCGTGCGCAGCGAGCGTTCTGAATTCGTAGGGGACATGGCGATGCGCACGTTCCTCCTCAGACGCTATCAGAAAGTCTGGGACGAGTTTCCGGTGAAAGGGAGACGCGGGACCAGAGGAGCTGGTGAGGACGCGCTGCCGCCAGCCTCGGACCCGGCACAGGACAGACGCACTTAACGCGAAGGTTGTCAGCGTCAACGGGGACGTGTTAACCGGGCAGGTCAGACAGCTCGGCGGTTGGATTCCTAGGACGCTGAGCCCTGGTCGTGTTCACGCTCCGAGGCCCCGGGACTCTGCGCAGCGGCCTGCACGGGGCTCGAAAGAAGGTTCCGAGCGGCCTGCGTGCTCCGGCCGCCCACGCGTGGCCACTTGCACTGCAGCAGCAGAGATAAACCGCGCTGCACACGGGTTCCAACGGGAGTGAAACAGCCGTGCCCTGTGAGGACGGACGAGCCGCAGAGCCACAGCGCAGAAGAGGACTGGGCCCCGGTGGGAGGCGGGCTGCCTTTCTAATAACCTTGCAGAATTAGCGGCCTCTAAGCAAAAGGCAGGCACAAGGCTCTGATGAACTCTTTGATGCAAATAAACTAGGAAAAAATGAGAATTCCTGGAAAAAGAAAGCTCTCTCAGACACTTTAATTTACATCTCGAATTGCTTCCGACTTCAGTCTGCACGGACCTGGTTCCGGGCCTAACCCCCGCCACGCACACGCACACACGCACACGAGCAGGGAGTCCCCTCGGCCTCGCCGGGACGCGGGACGCAGACAGCGATTCGCCCGCCTCACCTCGAGCAGAGCTGCGGCGGGGTCGCCCTGCAGGCTCTTGCCCAGCTTGTCCACCTCGTCCAACAGGAACACCGGGTTGTTCACCCCGACCGTCTTCAGGCCGTTGATGATGCGGCCGGGCATGCTGCCCACGTAGGTGCGCCTGCAGGAAGCAAGCAAATGGGTCCCGGGCGGCCGCAGGCAGGAGCAGGGCCACAGGAGCCCAGGGACCAGCACGGGAGGCAGCCAAGCCCTGAGAGGCCCACGGCATCCGAGGCACCGGGTCCCTTCTTCTCCAAGTCTGGTGCGAGCATCCACGGGACTGGAGCCACGTACCTCACGCTGGCCACTTACTGACACTGAAAACATTACACTTACGTCGCACAGTGACGATTCTTACTCCTCCCGATTCCAAGATGCCCCAACCCTCTGACTTTAATCCCCAGGCCGCACCCTCCGGCACCCAACCCCACCCCACCCCACCCCCAGCACGACATCCGCACAGGGAGACGCTGGTACAGCCTCCTCGTCTTCATGAGGAAGTCAGAATCGGCGGGAAGGGCCACTCAAAATGCAGACCTCCTGGCCCCCCAAAAAGGAAAACTCCAAACTCGTTCATTTCAGAGGCAGTCAGCTGTCACTACTGGTGGTCAGAGGCCTGGGGTCAAGAGCATCCACATGGAAACCCACCCCTCCGGGCACTGACTGGACTGTCCACCCTGCACGCTCCCTCGCACAGCCCAGCTCAGCGCTGCTTTGGGAGGCGCTACGACACCACAGGCAGCTCTGCCACGAAAGAATGAGGGTCGCCTGTGTGACAGGTCAGGTGCAGAGCGTGGCGTGAGGTGAAACAGCGTGTCTGTCCCAACGGAAAAGCCCCTTTCCTGAAAGCCAGCGAACGTCACTGCGCAGCAACGCACCCCGTTCCATCGCGGCCTCGCGTCTAGTCAGGTCACTACCGCTCGCCCAGTCTACGATCTAAATGGAACCGAGCCTTGCCTTTCCCCCCCCATCTCCCACCTCGCTATCGCTATCGCTGAACTCTTCGGTTATTTACAGTCAATTTCTAACATTAGCAGCTCCCTTCACACCCCCAGGCTGTGGCGCAGGCTGGAGCCCAGGCCTGGGGAGCGAGGAGGGGCCGGGCAGGCGGGGGGAGAGCACAGAGCCGCTCTGTGTCCTCGGCTATTTTAAACTGCAGAACAGGGGCCTACTCAGCGGCAGGGAAAACAGACCCGCGAGCCCCGCCTGGGAGCACGTGACCAGCACTGGAATGCCAAACCCAGGGCGTCTCCCAAGTGTACAGCTGTCCCGTCGGGGGGCTCCTCCCACCCACGCCACCCAGGTTGCGCTGATCCTGTCTCTCCTCTGTGTCCCCCCCCCCCGCCCCCAGCACTCTGACCCAGGCGGGACTGGGATCCCGGCCTCTCCTCTCCCCAGCAGCCCACCCGCCCTCCGCCCGCTCCCCACAGGTTTTCAAGTGACCTCCTCTCCAGGCTGCGATGACCTCAGAGCCGTGGGCAGTGAGTCCTCGGGGGCACAGGGGCCGGTGGCCCTGGTGGTGAATGGACCACACGCCTGGTTGGTGATGGCGAGGGAGGGCGTGCCCACGAGGGGCCCACGAACCTGGCTTAGTGCTCACAGACCGATTCTGACAACGCCATGTGCCTCTTCCCCGCAGGGATCACTGCCTCTATCCAGGCCGCACCCGAGAGCTCAGTTCCCGTGTTTCAGGCAAAAACACAACCTTCATTTACAAAACAAGTTCTTCTTCCTTCAGGTTCTGTGTTCTTATGACCGTCACACAGGAAGTGCCCTCACCTGGCACAGCGCGCAGGTGCTACCTGTCAGCGCCAGGAGCTCACGGCGCAGGGTGAGCCCCCCGTGTCCAGGAGGCGCGCTGAGAACTAGGCCCACATGCCGCCCACCACGGCATCAGGAAAACACCCTTCCCCACAGGTCTGCCCACGAGTCATCACGCGAGAACAGGACTATGGGGCACGGTTTACAAACCAGATTGGGTTTTATGAAAAGCACACGGACACGTGCAGACCTAACCCGGCCCCCTGAGCTGTCAGAGGTGAAATAGGAACAAAAGCTGTTCAATGGGTGCTGCCCGTGTGCCGGGCTCCGAGGGGCGCTTTCCAAGCCTCACTGAGCCGGCAATTCCAGCCGGAAAGAAACGGGACGCGTTACCTGCGTGTCACCTCCCCGTGACTTTAATGTCACGTGACAACCCCACAGTCACTCTCCAAGTCCCATCCAAGGCCGACGTACACGGGGCCACGGATGACAGGGAAGAAACACACAGAACCCCGAGCGAGCAGGTGGGGAGAGCCTCCGTCGCTCCTGGCCCTGGGCCCAGGAGCCAGCTTCTTACCGAGCCAACGGCAGCCTCTAGTGGCGCGGCGAGGACAGGACAGTCCAGGGGACAAGCGTGTCCTTGACACGGCTTCCCTGCCCCACTGCATCTACTAAAGTCTTGGGTGACTCTCCTTTCATGCAGAAGAGTTGCAAACAAGCAAGAAAAAGAATAAAAGGACCACTTTCATGCAAATTCCTGAAGTTTCCTGGCCCAGCCGAAGGCCAGTGACCTTGGAAACAGGCAAATGGAAAAGGAGGTGATGGAAAAGCAGCATATTCCCTCCCCCACAACCCAGGTCCCACCCACACTCAGGCCGTCGCTGTGCCTCGAAGCCGCCAGGGACAATGGCGTCCTTAACCACCCGCCCGGGGCTGGTCTGAGGACAGGAGCTTCCCCTCCGCTCCATGCCTTTGCCAGGACGCAGGGCAGCTGCAGGCCCCACCG